ACATGCTTTAATACTTACTGAATGAAGTCAGGAACAGTGATTACTTGAACTAAATATTAAGCTGTTATCAGTAAGCAGAGACAAGGACACAAAAGCCACTAAAGAAGCAAGCAATAAGGAAAGATACAAGCCAAAAAACTGATTTCACATGAATGCAAAGTGAGGTTCTTTTAAGAAGCACTTGCAAAGACAGAACTGAATAATCATCAAGTTTAACTACAAAGAGTATCGTTCTCTACCAATTAATTCTACATTGACATTGGCTATACTATAGACAGAGTACTGTATTTTAAATTTTTCCTAAGCTTTCTATATTTGAAAACGTTGCTTCTAGCTCAATGTAAAGTGAATGTTAAATGCAAGTAAAAAGCACTGGACTGGGACAACACTGAAAGTCTTCCACCAGAGGAAAAGTGAAAAAGAACTATGAAAGTCTAAATAGACAGCATGCTTGCTCTTAACTATTACATCTTCTTAAAAATATTTTATTTATTATTTTACATATATGAGTATATTGCCTGTATGTATGTAAGTGAACCCGAGTTGTGCAATACTCCTGGAGTTCAGAAGAGGGTATCCAATTCCCCTGACACTAGAGTTGTAGACAGTTGTTAGTAGTCATGTGGGTGCTGGGAATCGAACACAGATCCTCTGCAAGTGTGGCCAGTGCTCTTAACCACTGAGCCATCTCTCGAGTCCCAACTATTACATCTTTATGTCATGAACTCTGTGAAGTAGTGACACTTGAAATTATTTGGGGACTAGTCAGGTATGGTGGCCCATGCCTTTAATCCCACCACTCAGGAAGCAGAGATGGACAGATTTTTCTGAATTTGAGGCCATCTTGATCTACATAGCAAATTCTAGGCCAACTGGAGCTACATGGAGACCCTATCTCAAAAAACAAAACAAAAAATTAAAAATAAAGAAAAATAAATTGGGGATAGAAAGGCAGTTCAGCTGTTAGCAGCACTGGCTACTCTTGCAGAGGACCCAGGTTTGATTTTCAGCACCCACATGGCGGCTAACAACCACCCTTAATACCAGTTCCAGGAGAATTCGAAGTCCTCTTCTGACTCTGTGGGCATTGCACAACATGGGTGCATTTACATACATGCAGGTAATACATTCATACACTAAAATAAAATAAATAAAATAATTAAATAAAATAAAACTTTTTTAAATTTTTTTAAATTTAATAACCACATGATTAGAAGCATTTCATTACAGCTTTAACATATTCAGTAACACACTCCAGAGCAAGGATACATCTCTTTCAAAGGTGGCTGTAAATTTTTGGGTTCAAAGTTGAATTAACACACTCATACAATATTAAACTCAGTATAAAACCTGTAAGATATAAAATTGAATTAATTTTTACCCTTTAAAAAAGATCTCTATATCATTTTAAGATATGCTGTTTCCTACATTTTTAATGTTACTAACACTTACATGTGTCTTTCATCTCTATGTATCTGATTATTACTAGTCACTGTTGGTTACACTCAGATTCTTAGTACCTGACTATGGATATAAAGTCATCAGGTACATTTCACTAGTAATGTTTATCACCTCTACTATTTAACACGAAGTAAATTTTTCTTTAATTTTTAATAACTACATGATTAGAAGAAGCATTTCATCACAGTTTCAACATATTCAGTAACACACTCCAGAGCAGGAGTACATCTCTTTCACAAGAGGGTGTAAGTATCAAGGTTCGCTGTTGAACTAATACAGTTATATAATATTGAACTCAGTATAAGCCCTGTAAGACATAAAATTGAGTTTTTAACCTTTAAAAAAGATCTCCATTTCATTTTAGAATATACTGTACGTTGCAGAAAGACTCATTGTTTTTGGTAATAACACTGAGATGTTGGTGCATGCATCTCTAATCTGTATGTATCTAATTATTACTGGTCGTAACTGGTTGCACTTGGATCCTTGGCAGCTGTGTATGTTTATAAAGTCATCTGGTATATTTCAATGGTAATGTTTATCATCTCTACTAATTAACATGATGTAAATTTCCATGCTTCCTCCTGAAATATAATACATTTTTAAAAATTTGATTTTGTGTGTGTGTGTGTGTGTGTGTGTGTGTGTGTGTATCACACAGAACATCCCAAACCATCTAATTCAACAGACTCAAACACTTCCCAGGTGGCACACTCCCATAGCCTCCCTCCCCGACTAGAGCCCTTATACTCTTGATATCCCTGCTGCTGTGTTGTCGGCATCCCCAGCCGTTCCCCACTACTTGTCCATCTGGTGAATCTAGTCAGCCAATCCAGAGGTCTTTGTTTTAAGGTCAGCTGTTCCTCATCTAGCAGCAATCAGTTGTCAATATTCCTTTAGATAAGATTGGGGTCTGCTGTTCATTTTCCCAGTTCTATGCTGGGTTACTATCTGGGAGTCCCTTTGGCCACCCTGGCCAACAACTCAAAAGAAGATATCTCCTATCTGGCATTGTTGCTTGTTATGTAGCCTTTAGCTATACATATGGACTCTTAAAAAAGTTATTGGCCCCTTTAACCTTTGGTTAAACTTTCCTTTTGGATGCTTAAGGCCATACAGTTGGCCCAGATAAACCAATTTATTTTTACTCTTAAAGTCGTTTGAGGATCAGTTCCTCAGGGGTCACATGGCCTTGGGAGGAGATATATGAGTTGGGGCTTAATAAAAATATTTGTTTAAAACAAAAAGCATCCTTATTCTTTAAATTTATGCTATTTAGCTTTATCTAATCCTACCCTACTTTGCTGTTATTTGACCCCAAATATGACTCTCAATCTTCTACTTGCACCCAACTTTAAAAATTTGTATTCTTTCTTTTCTTCCTCGATTTGACTCCATTACAACTATCCACTGCTGTTAACTGTAGCCTAAATCTAAAGGTATTCAATCTCTGCAATATGAATTTTAAATTTCTAGTTTTAAGTCATAACTTAGTACTTCCTATCTCTCTGGGCCCCTAACTTCTACCATAACTAGTCTTTGACCTCAAAAAGATCTCTAATCATCCACTCATCAAACTATTTTCCTGCAAATTTATCAGTTATCCCTAAACTATCTGTTAAGCAAGCATGTGTCTTACTAACCAAATCTGGGATACTTTTAAGATGGAAACAGGATTTAATTCTTTATTATGATAATAGGTATAAATCTGAACCATCCAAAGGAAACTAGGGCAGAGGGCATTCCCTGCTTCTTACCATGCACATGTTGATCAAGTAATTGATCGATTAATTTCCTATGATTTGCCTCAACTTCTAGCTTTGTTGTTGTTGTTGTCGTTACTATTAAAAGCCTGGATTACCTCTGTTGTATGAAAAGAAGAAAATTAGCACTCCCCTTAACAGTGATGCAAGTGGTCCTCTGGCCTAACAGCAAACATACGGGGAGCTCTTACTTCAGGCAGCCTTCTCTGCTCTTGCTCTTTGTTACCACAGAGCTCAGTAATGAAGTCTAGTCATGTTCATATTCTCATGGTTCTCAATGTTAATGTCAGGCACATTGGTGAACATACACTGTGGTAATGAGTAAGTTTTTAAAGTTTTACTTTATTTGCTATGTATTCTACAATGTATCAAATAAAAATGATTACTTTTATAATTTAAAATAGATTAAATGAGCCAAAAAGAGAAACTTCTAAGTTAAAAGATAGGAATATTTTCCTTTTGGGAGTTTAAGGCCATACAGTTGGCCCAGATAAAACTATTTTTACTCTTAAGGTCGTTTGAGGAGCTGTTCCTCAGGGGTCACATGGGCTTGGGAGGAGCCACTGGCTCCTTTCTTTTACCAGTTCCACCTATGTGAAGATAAGTCAAAGGACCTGCTTGACCATGGCTGGCTTTGCTTGGAAGCATGGAGGAAATGATTCCTCTGTGTTGACCCTCCTCTTTGTACAATGGACACAGATTCATGTCCACCTTGCGGGGTCTCCCGGGATTCCTTGATCAAGAGGACAGGTGACTCACCACAATTACAGGACACTTTGAGAGATGCTCATAGTCCCCTGGAAATAGTCGATCTAGGAGGGCAAGAAGCAAAAACTGTCCTTTATGTCCCTCTGACCAAATTAATACAGGCCTCAAAGTATGTCTGTTAAACATCCAATAAGGTTAGTTCCACCAGCCTGGTACTTCTAATTACCATGTGCTATGTAGATAAAGCATGGGCAAAGATCAAGGGATCTCAAAGAAACCCTGACTAGAGATATATTATGTTCCTTGAGCTAGTTGTATGTATAATTTGGAAGTAGGTTGTTGGACTAATATGGTTCCCTATGGATTTTTTTTAAAACTAGCTAGGCATTATTTACCTCTTGCATTGTCTAACCCTTCCATCAAGGTTTCCCCATTAAAAGTAACTCCATTTCTCCCATTTCTCCCTTAATAATACCCTTCTCCTATGGTCCCACCTCTGTTGAGCTCCTTCTTTCCCGTTACCCCCTAGGTTCCTTTTATACCTCCCCCTCCCTCCAATTTTTATCCATATCTCCCTTATTAACACCTGTTTCCTACTGTTCTTTTTCAGGTTCTTTCTTTTCCTTTACTTCCCTGGTTCCTTTCCATTATCCTGGTTCCTGTAGTTATTTCTGGATACATGCTTATCAGGATTTGGTTCTAGGATCCACATATGAGGGAGAACATACATGGATTTTTTTTCTGAGTCTGTGTTACTTCACTTAGTATAACAGTTTCTGGTTCCATCCATTTTCCTGCAATTTTCATGATTTCATCTTTTTTACTGCTGACTAAAACTCCATCGTATAAATGAACCACATTTTCATTATCCACTCGTCGATTGAGGGACACTTAGGTTGCTTCCATCTCTTAGCTATTGTGAGAACAGCAGCAACAAACATGGATGGACAACTGTCTCTGCAATAGCATGTGTTCTTTGGGTATATGCCAAGGAGTGGTATAAATGGGTCAAATGGTAGGTTCATTCTTAATTTTTTAAGGGTTCTCCAAACGGCTTTCCATAGGGGTCGAACAATTTTGCAATCCCACCAGCAGAGGATGAGCGTTCTGCTTTCCCCACATCCTCTCCAGCATTTGGTATTATTTGTCTTCTTGATCTTAGCCAGTCTGACTGGGGTAAAATGAAATCTTAAAGTGTTTTTAATTTGCTTTTCTCTAGTTACAACGATGATTGCTTCCTGTCTTGGTTCTCTGTTTTTTGAGTTCATTGTATATTCTGGATGTTAAACCTCCATCAGATGTGTAGCTGGTGAAGATTTTCTCCTATTCTGTGAGTGTTCTCTTCAGTTCCCTGGTTGCCTCCTTTGATGTACAGCTTTTTAGTTTAATGAAGTCCTATTTGTTTATTCTTTCCCTTGTTTCCTGAGCAATTGATTTCTGGTTTAGAAAATCTTTTCCTACACCTATATCTTGTAGGTTTTTGCCAATGTTTTCTTCTAACAGTTTCAGAGTTTCCGGCCGTACATTGAGGTCTCTGATCCATTTGGAATTGTGAAAGGTGAAATATTTGTGCAAGGTGAAATATTAAACGGGCCAATATAATTTTTTAAGAGTCCATATGTATAACTAAAGGCTACATTACAAGCAACAATACCAGATAGGAGATATCTTCTTTTGAGTTGTTGGCCAGGGTGGCCCAAGGGACTCCCAGATAGTAACCCAGCACAGAACTGGGAAAATGAACAGCAGACCCCAAACTTATCTCAAGGAATACTGACAACCGATTGCTGCTAGATGAGGAACAGCCGGCCTTCCTAAAACAAAGACCTCTAGATAGGCTGACTAGATTCACCAGATGGACAAGTAGTAGGGAACGGCTGGGGGTGCCAACAACACAGCGGACAGTAGCAGGGATAACAGAATATAAGGGCTCTAGTAGGGGGAGGGAGGCTATGGGAGTGTGCCATCTGGGAAGTGGGTGTATAGTTGAATAAGATGATTTGAGATGTTCTGTGTGATATACATTCCCAAAAAAAATCAACAAAAATTTTTAAATGAATTATATTTGAGGAGGAAGCATAAAAATTTATGTCATGTTAATTAGTAGAGGTGATAAACTACCATTGAAATCTACCAGATGATTTTATAGACATACAAGATGCCAAGGATCCGAGTGCAACCGATTATGACTAGTAATAATCAGATACATACAGATTAGAGACACATGTGCCAACACCTCAATGTTATTACCAAAAACAATAAGTCTTTTTGTAAGAAATAGTATATTTTTAAATGAAAAGGAGATCTTTTTTAAAGGTTAAAACTCATTCAATTTTATGTCTTACAAGGCTTACACTGAGTTCAATATTGTATAACTGTATTAATTCAACAGTGAACCTAAAAATTTTATAGCCACTTTTGAAAGAGATGTATCTTTGCTCTGGAAACTTATTGAGTATGTTAAAGCTGTAATGAAATGCTTCTTCTAAAAAAATTTTAAAATGTATGTATATAAAGATAGGAATAACACTAATTAAAAACTAGCATGCATTTTCTTCAGACTGATTTTTAAAATTTTTATCCTTTTATACATCGAGTTACTCTTGTTTTCCTATTGCTCTCTATGATTCTGTGCTTTTTTTAAGTTGTTTTTATTCTTAATCGTGTATGTATGTGTGTATGTGCGTGTCTGTCTGTCTGTCTGTGGGTTATGTGCACATGACTGTTTAATCTCTGTGAAGATCAGAAGAGGGAGTCGAATCCCCTCTGTAACTGGAGTTACAGGAAGTTGTGAGCCATCATGTGGATCTTGGGAACTGAACTCTGGTCCTCTGAAAGAGCAGTACCCTATTCTTAACCACCAAGCCATCTCTACAGATCTTTATATTTCTAATATAAGGTTATGGCCAATAAATTCAAAGTACACAGAGCATAAACAGAAATAAAACAAGTAGAAAAGGCAAAATTTAGAACATATAAAGTCATTACACTTAAAAAATTACATTTTAGAATTTGCATGGTTTAAAAGTCCAAATTGTTGCATATTAGCATTTAATATTTGATAACTTTGACACCTATAAACAGTAAAACAGAAACAGTGAGAATAATGTTACCTTCTGTTTTGTGTAACTCTAGTTTCTCTTTTTATTTTTCCTTTTTGTTGTTTTTTTAGTTTTGTTTGTGTAATTGATTGGTTTGGTTCCGTTGTTTCTTTTTATTCTTAGGTGTTGTTTTGTTAGTTTTGTTGTTGTTTTATTTTGCTTTTATTGCTGGTTGTTTGTTCTGATGGGTTATCCATTTGGTATACCCTGACTTTACCTCCCCATTTCATACTGTTTCAATAATGAATGAGCAAACCCCTTGCTAGAGAACACAGTTCTGAGAGACATTTGAAGGAACAGGTGATCGGCAGTTCAGGTCTACTCTTGGCTTTAAAATGAATGGTAAGAGTTAGATTGTTTCTTTATTAAGGCATAACCATAAGGTGGCTTAGAAATGCAGCCTTCCGTAAGGCAGGGCTGAGTTAAACTCTGATCTACCTGCCAGCCCACTCACATAATGATAAGGTAGAATCTATTTTAAGTGCTTCAATGGCTACAGCTTTGGGCCTCAGTGCTGGGTAAGTTGTAAGAAGCTTAAAGAGCTTGAATACTTGGCGCCAGGGTTGAAGGAGTAGGAGACCTGGAAAGTAGACCTGTACCCTTTAGTCATTGGATCCCAAGTCTAAAGAGTCAGACCCTGGTGCCTCTTCACTACAAGTGTGAAACAAACTTATGTATACAAAAGTCTGAATTCCTGCTAAAGCTGGGTGTTAATGACTTTTTAGTTTTCTAGTCTAGTCCCCTTTCTCTGGACAGGTAATTAGGAGTCAGCTTTTGGGCTGGGCCTGGTGGAGCATGACTTCAATCCCAGCACTCAAGAGGCAGAGGCAGGCATGTCTCTGTGAGGAGAGGCCAGCTTCGTCTACATAGCAAGGAAGAGTCAGCTTTTCCCAAACACAAATTAGGTTTAAAGAGAGAGAGAAAAAGAAAAAGTTACCAGAATTAGCCAGCAACTATTCTTTACACTAGTTCCCTGTCTCCATATCTTAATAGGCTGTAGTGTCTAGCCTTCCTTTCCATGTTGTTCAATTTTCAGAGCCCTTTTCCTCTTCAGCTTGTCCTCTGGTTGACTAGCAAATTGGGTGGTTCCTGTGTCTGACTGGGGAAGCCACTAGAATTGAGTGGCCCAAAGCAACAACTTCAATGTAACAATTTCAAGATTTCCTTCTTCCAGAATCTTCAATTAATTTCAGTTATAATAGAGCACCTCAGAAATAAATAAATATAACAGTAGCGAAGAAATGACATTGCATAGCAAAGGTTGTTGTTGGTTCATTCAGTTATTCATCAAATAAGTCCTTATTTAATATATACAATATGCCAGGCACTGAGTAAGTTCCTGAATGCAGAGCTGAAGAGTACTGGTCACAGGCTAGGGACATAACTCTGTAATAAAATAATAGCTTAATAAGTA